AGCTTTGAATTTAAGAGATCTTCCTGCCTCTGACTCCCAAATTCTAGGGTTAAAGGTGTGCACCCCTACACCCTGCTATATGATCTTTTAAAAGGGAAATATAAAGGATATTCCCACCTATGTCCTCCTTCTTGAACGAAGTAGAGCTCTGTTTCATCTTCATCGTGCCTCTTTTTATCAGTTCAGTTATTTTGTCTTAAATTAGGTTTAGCTGGTAAGTAACAAGGAGGGCTCAAGGGGGGGGGGTGGCATAGGGATCTGCTTGGGAAGGGGAAATACAATAGATTTTCCGGATGGACTGGGGTTGGATGGGGACAGAAATGGGAGAGATCAGGCAGCGGTGGCAGGTGGTGGGGTGGGGGATGTATTAGGAGAGATGACAAGGGGCATTTGGGAGATGATGCAGAAACCTAGTGTGGTGGAAACGTCCTGGAATTGTTGAGAGTGACCCCATTGAAGACTCCTAGTGATGGGGGAACAAAGCCTAAACCAGCCATCTTCTATAAGCAGGCAAGGCTTTCACCAGTGGGGCTGAGGCACCAACCCAGTCACAAAACCTTTGATCTACAATGTGTCCTGTCTCCAAAATGTGCTGGGGTAATGGTGGCACAGAACTTGTGGGAGTGACCGACCAATGACTGGTCCAGTGGAGGCCACGCTCAGAGGAATCCTATGCCATGCCTGGCACTGCCTGGATGGCCAGGACCCAGAGGCTGGACAGCCCAGAGACCTAGGATAGAACCAAACACAACTGAGAAAAGAAAAGTTCAATGAAATGATTATTAATGCTATTCTTCTTCACTCATAGATTGTGCCTGACCCAGCTGTCCCAGATAGACATCAAACTTGGGTCCTCTGGTAGAACAGAACCCTTAACTCCCCATGTCTTTCTTTTCTTCTTATATCCAAGTGGTGTGAATTGATAGTTCCAATACTTGGAAGGCAGAGGCATCAGGAGCTCTAGTTCACAAAGAGCTTGGCTTACTCAGTGCCTGCCTCAAAAACAAAGCAGAGGGAATTTCTAAACAACTAGTACAATATCAAAATAAAACAGAGTTACAGAGATAGCTCAGGGATTAGGATCACTTGCTCTTACAGACAGGCTGGGTTCCAAAGGGCTGCTTCCAACCATCTGTAACTCCAATTCCAGAGGATCTGACGCCATCTTCTGGTCTCTGGGGGTACCATGAAGGTCAAACACTCATATACATAAAATAGTTTTTTTAAAGTATCACATCCAGCCTAATAAATCCTCCACCCCCCCTAAAAAAAAAAAAAAAAAAAAAAAAAAAACTCAAGAAGATGTGGAGTGGGATGCAACTTAATGGTAGAGCCTGTCTAGCATTTGAGATGTTCTGAGTTGGATCCCTAATACCATGGCCACCACCACCACGATTAACAAAGACCTTAGGCACACTACAGTGATGATAACCTGTGAGGCTGAAATGTTGGATCATTTGTAAAACTTTCAGCCATTGAAGCCCCCAATCAACAGAAACTTAAGGACTAGTGTGCCATGGTAGTGCAGACCTATATCCCAGCACTGCGGGGGCAGAAGTAGGAGGACCAAAAGTTCAAATCTATCCTTAGGCACACAGTGAATGTGAGGCCAGTATGAGCTACACAAGACACTGACTCAAAACAATGAAAAAAATAAAAAACAAAATAGCATTTCAATTAGTGTGACAGTATGTATCACGAATCTCAGCATTTGGGAGCTTTGGGTAGGGAGCATCTCAATGAGTTCCCCAGGGCAGCCTCATTTACATAGTGAATGGAGGCCAGCCTAGGCTACATAGGATTCTGTTTCAAAAAACCAAACCAACCCAATAAACAAATTAAAAAGAAATACTAGCCGGGCTATGGTGGAACTTAACTTTAATCCCATCACTTAGGAGGCAGAGGTAGGTAGATCTATGTGAGTTCAAGGCCGGCTTGGTCTACAAAGCTATACAGAGACACCCTGTCTCAAAAAAAAAAAAAAAAAAATCATTCTACCATTTTTTTTCAGAGAACAAAATCAAATTTCTATTCTACTCTTACTTAATGCTGCACCTCCCAGCAGAAGTCAGCCTGAGTTCATTGTTGTGGAATATTACTTTAACTATATAAAGATGCATTACGCTTATGCTGCATTTGTTTAACTAGACAAAAATGTGCTACATTTGTTTATGTTGCATTTGTTTTACCTTGCCTTCCTAAGGCACCTGACGGTCTAAAAAGGTGAATGGCCAGCCGGGTGGTGGTGCATGCCTTTAATCACAGCACTTGGGAGGCAGAGGCAGGCAGATCTCTGTGAATTTGAGACCAACCTGGTGTACAGGAGCTAGTTCCAGGACAGCCTCCAAAGCCACAGAGAAACCCTGTCTCGAAAAAACAAAACAAAACAAAAACCAAACCAAAAAAGCTAGGTAGTAGAGGGACAGGCAGGGCTGGCAGGCAGAGAGAAGTAGGAGGAGGAATCTAAGCTAGAAAAAATTAAGGGCCAGGCAGCCAAGAAAAGCAGGAAAGTAGGACTCACAAAAGGAAGGAAAGATAAAAATCCCAGAGACAAAACAGATGAGACACAGGTTTATTTAAGTTATAAGAGCTAGTGGGACAAGCATAAGATAAGGCTGACCATTTATAACTAATAATAAGTCTCCAGGTGGTGATTTGGGAGCTGGTTGATAGCCCAAAAGAAAGCCTGCTACAGTTAAACTTCAGCTTTCTCCTCATGATAGCAGCTACAAAGCAATGCTGTGTGAGAAATTCGAAACCCATCAGGCAGCTGAATTTGTTGTCAAGTAAAAACACACAGAAAGGCCCAAGCCTTTTAACTCCAACCATGGCACTGTTAAAAAAGAAAAATAGCTTAATGACTACAAACAACTTCAGTGTTTGGCTGCAAACAATCTCATAAGTGTTTTGTAGGTTGTCGGTATGTGCCTCAGCTCCTTCTTGCTGGGATTGTAGAGGGGAACCACCACATCTAGCTTGACTTAAGATAATTTCTAAAGAACACCAGTAAAGGAAGTGATGTTTAGCTGCCTTAAAGATAATTTTAACAAGGAGACATATTCAATTAGTGTGAAAATTATAAGCCATTTCAGAGTCAACAAGAGGTTAAGGTTTAGCTACAGTGCTAGAGGAATTATCTTACAGCTTTTTAAATTGATCTGCACATCTTAAAAGAGGTGTTTCACCTATAGTCCTAGTACTTAGAATGCTGGAGCAGGAGGATCAGGGGTTCAACATCAATCAGCTTTGGCTACAGAGTGAATTTAAGGTCAGGCTGGGTATGAAAGACCTTGCTGCAGAAAAAATAAAAACAGAGTACAATTGTGTCCTTGCTTGGGAATTCTGACACACAGGTCAAGGTAGTGCCCCAGGTCTGGAAACTAGTCTTTGCAATAAATTCTTCATTAATTCTGATGTGCAGCCAGTGTTTGGCTGATACACAGAAATGAAGAGGAGGTAGTAGAGAGGTGATACTTGATCTTCTCACAGGGACCCAGGTTGGGCTCCCACTACCAACAGCTCACAGTTGCAGGAGATCTGATGCTTCTTCTGATGTCTGAGGGCTCCTGCAGGCACATGGAGTATATACATATGAAAACAAACAAACAAACAAATAAATGTATGTATGGTCAAAGGAAAATCTACTGCCCTCAAGCTAAAGGGACTAAGAGGTAGTTTATTTTGTAAGTTTTTTGTTTGTTTTTGTTTTTGAATGCCAGTGGACTAGGAAACTTAGATTACCTCAAATCTTCAAATTCCATGTTACAATGTTTCTAAAGCACTTTCATTAAATTCTTATTGTTTTACACAATAAAGATAGCCATAATCAAGACAATTCTAAAAGACATTGATGGGCAGATACATTGAGATCGGGGAGCTATCTTTTTTGTTTGTTTTTCGAGACGAGGCTTATCTGTATTGCTTTGGAGCTGGTCCTGGAACTAGCTCCGTAGATCTGCCTGCCCCTGCTTTGAGTGCTGATTCTTGACCTTGGCATCCTTGTAACCTGCTGTAAGCTGAGCTACAGTCCCGGTTCTACAAGTACTTTTTGTCACGTACAAAACATCCCTTTTGCATTTGTATTACCTTCTAGGCGTTTCCTTCACAACTTTTCTAGGGATTTCTGGAGAGTCAAGTCTGGAAAGAGTGTTGGTTCAGTTTGTTTAGGAGAATATAGTGATTCAGTTTTAAGAAGAAAGCCCCCGTCTTCAGAGGACCAGACCCTGCTGAGGGAGGGCTTAGTTTAAGAAGCATTAGAAAGGCGCTAATTACAAGAGGAGACTGCTTTACAGGCTTTATGCAAAATGTTTAACTCTCCATCATAACATGCTCTAAAATCTCCTGCCTTTTACCAAAACGCCTTTCTTTCTTCTGCCACACCGCTGCCTAAGGTCTGTAGCTAGTTCTTTGAGACACTGAAGCAACCGAGTTCTCCCGGGAGACCGCGGCAGGTAGGAATAGGGACCTCGTCCGAGTACACCCTAGGCCTAGCGTCGTTTTCCAGAACCATCGGCACCGCCAAGGGCGGGTGCTCTTGAGGCCGGGGTAACCGGGAGGCCTTAGTGCCTCGCAGGCGCCTCGGGCAGGGACCGAACTCCCATACTTGGGGACTGAGGCCAGGGACTGGAGTCACCCTGGAGGACATCTAGGGGAAAAAGCAGGTAGCACCGCTCGTCATCGTGGAAGTAGTTGAAAATTAAGGCACTTTAGGGCGCACGCGCAGAGGATGCTGTTTACGGTTTCCTGCCCCACCCCTTAGCCCCCTCCTGGTCTTCCGCCCCTCCAGACTAGCTCTTCCAATAGCCCCGCCCCCAAGCACTAACCCCGCCCACAACAGGCCCCGCCCCCGTCGTCCCCCCGCCCCGTTCTATTTAATTGTTGGATTGTCAGCTCTGCAATCCCGCTGACGGCCAGCAGGGGGCAGAGTTCGAGCCTGCAACTTTTTTTTTTCTCCTTGGCCCGCGTCCCTGAGGGAGGCGGTCGGCGTGGGGGAGGGGAGGGCGGGGCTCGAGGCTCCAGTTCGCTCGGCTGCTAGCGCTGCTTTCTGTTCGCGTCGGCGGAGAGGCCGCGACAACCGCATCAGAGCTGACGTGGGCGCGACGTGGGGCCGCCGCCGCCGGGTTGCCTGGGCGGCGGCCGTCGGGCTCTGCGTCCCCACCTCCTCCCGTCCGTAATCAGTGACGAGGTCCGCTACGTAAACCCTTCGCGGCGGGTAAGTGGCGCGCCAGCCTCGCATCACAGCCCGCGGCGGGCGGCGGCTGCTCGGGACGCGGCCTTCCGCCCGGCCTGCCCTGCCGTGGCCTGGCCTGGCCTGCCCTGCTCTGCCCTGCCCGCACGGCCGCCCGCCCGCTCGCGGCTCGCCACCGAGAGCTCACCCAAGTCCCGAGCGTGCAGCGGGCCGTCCGTCCGCGCTCGCCCTCTTCCGCGCTTCATCGGGTACCGGCGGGGAAGCCTTCCCTCAGAGAGCCGGGCGGCCGCCCGGGCTCCTCAGCCTGACCGCAAAGCGCCGGCCGCAGCGCTTCACCCCAGCGTGGCGTACGCGCTGTAGATAGGAAAGTAACGTACCCCGTGTCCTCAGGCGATCGCGCCATCTGGGGCCCCCGCACGGCACAGCAGTCGCAGCTGGGGGTCCCAGGGGTCTGCTGTGACCTGTTCGGGGCCGTCCACGACTGAGTTCCCAGACCCGCGGAGCAGGGACACGTAGCCAGCACAGTTCTGCCCTGCCGCCTGTTACTCGTTTCTCCAACCGCCAGCTTTCCTTGGCAGGCGCTCACGGTGCCACCCAGCACCCTACCGGGGAAGCTGCTGTCTGCTCGCCATCGCCCCCCGAATCAAGCTTTACAGTCCCCTTCCCCCCATAGGTGTGGCTTAGGCGACTACCCGCTTTTGAAGCGGGGCCCACACGACTGCCCTCATCCAGCATCGCATTAATTAATTAACTAATTAATTATTGACGTTCGTGTTTTCACTCCGGTCACATCAGCTTTCTCCCAGTTTTTGATAACAAGCTTGTTTCCCTTCAGATACCCGTTCTTTGTAACTCTGAACTTCAGACTCCTTCTCAAAGGAACACTGCGTTCAGACTATGTGTTTTGGCCAATAAATGTGATTATTTATCCAAAACTTTTTTTTTTTTTTATTTTGAGGATCTCAAGTAGGCCAGTTCCTTGAACTGGTTATGTAATGGCTGACTTTGAACTTCTGATCCTCCTACTGTCACCTGCTGGGTGCTGGGATTTTAGACTTGTAACTTAGTGTGTCATTTTAACCAAACAAAACTTTAGGAAGGGGTTTTAATCTTTCACGAGTGAACTGTAATTGTTATATTAAATACTGAAATGACAGGAGAGATTTTGGTGAAGCCGTAAATAGTCCAGTGTAACTAGTATTTTCCCAAATGACAGTACTTCATGCGGAAGTGTGAAATTGTAGTTACCGTGACGTTATATGTATGTTTGTAAGATGTGAATAAATTTTAAATGTGCAAACACAGAGGAACTTTTAGTCTTTTTGCTTTTACACTGTGCCCAAAAGTTAATGAAATTTCCCTCTAATGAAAAAATTAACACACTCCCAACACCATAGAGGGTAGGATGTATTCTTGTTTCCATCAGAGGTAAATAACTTCGTGCGTACAGTCTTGCTGAGAATATAGCATATTATCAAGAAGTATTAACATACATAGGAATCCTGACTTAATCTTTACTAATATAAACATTACTCATTTTCTTTCTCATAATATCAAGTAAATACTGGATGTGTGTGTGTGTGAAAGGGGAGAAGGGGGGAGGAGAGAGAGAGGGAGGGAGGAAAGGAGGGAGAGGCAGGCCAGAAAAGTATGTGTTATCACTTGGAGCTGGAGTTAACAGTGATTGTGAGTTGCCTGGTGGGGATGCTGGGAACTGAACTCAGGTCCTCTGGAAGAAAAAGAAGTGTTCTTAATAGCTGAGCGAGCTCTCCAGTTCCATTTAGGTAAGACTTGTAAAAATGAGACTGAACAATGTGAACTCTTGCCATTGAGAAGCTTTAACTTTTACAACAGTGTTAGAACTATTGGTTGATGGGGAAATAAACCTGACATAACTGAAATTTCAAAGTGTATTTTTACTTTATTGAACTGATAAGTTTCATACATGAAAACAATTTTTATTGTTTGTTTTGAGACAGGATCTCACTATGTGTCCCAGCCTGTTATTGATCTTAGCCTCTCCAAGTGCTGGGATTATAGGTGTGTGCCACCAGACCTGACCAAAAGACAACTTTGAGAAGAGATACAAATATTGGCTGTGGTTTCAATATTATCAGTGCAGCAGCTTAAATGTAGACATGTTAAGAAAAAAAAAAAGTCTCACTTGCAACACAATGGGTGTAAATGAACACTTCAGGTACTTACATTAATCATTTCCTTTAGTTCAGTGGTATAACACTGTCTAGCTTTGGAGAATCCCCTGATAGTTTCATTCACTTGCACACACACACACCTCCCCCCCCCCCCAAAGGAAAAGAAATACATGAAGCTTCTTTTGTTTGTTTCTTTGTTTTTTAGAGACAGGGTTTCTCTATGTAGTCCTGGCTGTCCTCAAGCTTACTCTGTAGACCAGGCTTGCCTCTGACTCCTGAGTGCTGACATTAAAGGTGTGTGCAACCATTACCTGGCTATGGGAAGTTTTAAAAATGTGTTATTCCACCATAATAACTGTATAGCAAGGAGTGCTATGTGTAAGACTGAAAGCTTTCTTTTTGTTTTCTAATGCTAAGAGAACAAAGAAGAAAATCCGAGGTAATTGTAGTGGGGGTTGTCTTTGTTTTGTTGAGACAAGGTCTTACCATGTAGAGCCAGGATGTTCTTCACCTTGAGATCCTCTTACAGCTCAGAATAGAATATAGTCTCAATTTATTTCTCTTTGATAATGCAGTTTTATTTTGCTTAGAAATGTTGGCTTGCTTGTTATTGCCATGACAAAACACCATGAGCAAGGTATGTTTATAAAAGAAAGCATTTAGTTGGGTTCAGGGTTCCAGAGGGTTTGAGCCCATGACCATCATCATGGTGGAGACCATCACGGTGGAAACCATGGCAGCAGGCAGACAGACATGGGGCTGCAGTGGTAGCTAAGAACCTGGATTTGATCCACAAGCATTAGGCAGAGACAGAGAGAGAGAGAGAGAGAGAGAGAGAGAGAGAGAGAGAGAGAGAGAGAGAGAGAGAGAGAGACAGACAGACAGACAGACAGAGACTGGGAATGATGTGGGCTTTTGAAACCTCAAAGCTCATCCCCAGTGACACACCTGGTCTACCAACCAAAGGCATACATCCTACTCTAGTAGTTTTCAACCTGTGGTTTGTGACCCTTTCACAGGGGTTGCATATAAGTTATCCTGCATATCAGATTTTTATGATTCACAGTAGCAAGCTTACAGTTATAAAGTAGTAATGAAAATAATTTTATGGTTGGGGGTCATCACAACATGAGGAACTGCATTAAAGGGTCAAAGCATTTGTAAGGTTGAAAACCATTGTCCTAATCCTTCCCAAATAGACCAAGCATTCAAATATTGGAGCCTGTGGAAGGCATTCTCATTCAAACTACCACAAATGTTTTTAGAGAATCCTTTTTCTTCAACAGTGAATAACAAATATCTTACCCTTGGCCTTGCATGTTCTAGGCAAACACCCTACCACTAAACTACAGTCTCAGCCTAGTTTGACAGGATGAAAGCCTCCAGTTTTGGAGTTAGAACACCTTTATCATGAATGAAGAAAGACACATGCTACTACTTACAGATGCTCTAGATACTTTTATTTATTTGTATGATTCTTGTGTGTGTGTGTGTGTGTGTGTGTGTGTGTGTGTGTGTACATTGCAGAGGCAAGAGCTTTTTGCTATATTGCATTGAGACAAGATCCCTCCTTGAGCTGGAAGCTTTTTATCTGAGCCTGGCTGGATAGCCAGAGATTTCTTGGAATACCTATCTCTGCTCCCAAATGTTAGGGTTAATGGCATGTGCAGTCAGGCCTAACTCTGTAGGTGGGTGCTAGGAATTTGAACTCAGTTCTCAGGTCTTCATTCTTACAGAGCAAACATTCTTAACCTATGAGCTGTCTCATGATGCCCAGGCTAGAGTCAAACTTCCTGTGTAGCTGAGGATAGCCTTGAACTATTAGTCTTGCTTCTACCTCTCAGGTGCTGGGTAGATTCTCAAAATTGCCAAAGGGATTACATTTGGTTAGTCAGTTTCTTCACTTAGGTATTACAAAGAAATTTTTAATAAGATTTTTGTTTTCTGTGAATGGGTGTTGTGCTTACATATATATCTGTGTATCACATGCTTGCCTGTTACACAGAGAGTCCAGAAGACATCTTATCCTCTGAAACTAGAGTTACAGATGATTGTGAACCACTTTGTGAGTGCTGGGAAGGGAACCCAGGTCCTTTGCAAGAGCAATTAGTGTGTTTAACCACTGAGTCATCTCTTCAGCCCCTTAGGTATTTTGTTCAGATATACAAGCTAGAACCAAGCTAGGTAAATAAAAATAATTAATTGTTTAAATTCTTCCCTCTGAATACGGGCTAATCTATTTTCACATATTCATTTATTTTATTTTTACAAATTTTATATGTGTAGGCTTTTGCCTGTATGTGCCTATCCATCCCCCAAGCCCCCATCCCATGTGTGTGTCCCTGTCTGTATGTGTGAATGTGGTACAGAGTGATGGAGAATGCCAGGTGTTCTTACCACTCTATACTGTCTCATAGCCACAGTTTTTTGGTTAGGTTAATTATAGTTTTGAATTCTTTTTCCTGTCTTTTTTTCTTTTTTCTTTCAACACTTTCTTGCAAAAACTATCTCAGCAGTGCAAAATTTAAAGATTCTATTTTGGTATTTAAAAAGGAATAAAACCCTAAAACTGTTTTATTCATGTTTTAATGGTACTCTTCATTTTTAAAATAATGCCTTCTCCCCAGTGTTTTGCATTCATCTCTAACTATAGCACACAGTCCCAAAGAATGTGTGTATCTTCATGTGGGTATATGAATGTGAGTGCAGGCGCCAGACAAGGCCAGAGCTATCGGATCTCCTGTAGCTAGAGTTACAGATAGTTGTAAGCCATTGCTGGATTTGGGCTCTCTGGAAGAACAGCAAGTGCTTGTAACTGTTGAGCTATCTCTCTAGCCCCCCAAAGTATAGTTTTGTTTTTGTTTTTTTTTT